TCTTCTTCTTCTTCTTCTTCTTCTTCTTCTTCTTTTCTTCTTCTTCTTCTTCTTCTTCTTCTTCTTCTTCTTCTTCTTCTTCTTCTTCTTCTTCTTCTTCTTCTTCTTTTCTTCTTCTTCTTCTTCTTCTTCTTCTTCTTCTTCTTCTTCTTCTTCTTCTTCTTCTTCTTCTTCTTCTTCTTCTTCTTTCTTCTTCTTCTTCTTCTTCTTCTTCTTCTTCTTCTTCTTCTTCTTCTTCTTCTTCTTCTTCTTCTTCTTCTTCTTACTTCTTTTTCTTCCTTCTTCTTTTTCTTCCTTCTTCTTCTTCTTTTTACTTCTTCTTCTTCTTCTTACTTCTTTTTCTAACTTCTTCTTTTTCTTCTTCTTCTTCTTCTTCTTCTTCTTCTTCTTCTTCTTCTTCTTCTTCTTCTTCTTCTTCTTCTTCTTCTTCTTCTTCTTCTTCTTCTTCTTCTTCTTCTTCTTCTTCTTCTTCTTCTTCTTCTTCTTCTTCTTCTTCTTCTTCTTCTTCTTCTTCTTCTTCTTCTTCTTCTTCTTCTTCTTCTTCTTCTTCTTCTTCTTCTTCTTCTTCTTCTTCTTCTTCTTCTTCTTCTTCTTCTTCTTCTTCTTCTTCTTCTTCTTCTTCTTCTTCTTCTTCTTCTTCTTCTTCTTCTTCTTCTTCTTCTTCTTCTTCTTCTTCTTCTTCTTCTTCTTCTTCTTCTTCTTCTTCTTCTTCTTCTTCTTCTTCTTCTTCTTCTTCTTCTTCTTCTTCTTTTCTTCTTCTTCTTCTTCTTCTTCTTCTTCTTCTTCTTCCTTCTTCTTCTTCTTCTTCTTCTTCTTCTTCTTCTTCTTCTTCTTCTTCTTCTTCTTCTTCTTCTTCTTCTTCTTCTTCTTCTTCTTCTTCTTCTTCTTCTTCTTCTTCTTCTTCTTCTTCTTCTTCTTCTTCTTCTTCTTCTTCTTCTTCTTCTTCTTCTTCTTCTTCTTCTTCTTCTTCTTCTTCTTCTTCTTCTTCTTCTTCTTCTTCTTCTTCTTCTTCTTCTTCTTCTTCTTCTTCTTCTTCTTCTTCTTCTTCTTCTTCTTCTTCTTCTTCTTCTTCTTCTTCTTCTTCTTCTTCTTCTTCTTCTTCTTCTTCTTCTTCTTCTTCTTCTTCTTCTTCTTCTTCTTCTTCTTCTTCTTCTTCTTCTTCTTCTTCTTCTTCTTCTTCTTCTTCTTCTTCTTCTTCTTCTTCTTCTTCTTCTTCTTCTTCTTCTTCTTCTTCTTCTTCTTCTTCTTCTTCTTCTTCTTCTTTTTCTTCTTCTTCTTCTTCTTCTTCTTCTTCTTCTTCTTCTTCTTCTTCTTCTTCTTCTTCTTCTTCTTCTTCTTCTTCTTCTTCTTCTTCTTCTTCTTCTTCTTCTTCTTCTTCTTCTTTTTCTTCTTCTTCTTCTTCTTCTTTTCTTCTTCTTCTTCTTCTTCTTCTTCTTCTTCTTCTTCTTCTTCTTCTTCTTCTTCTTCTTCTTCTTCTTCTTCTTCCTTCTTCTAGAAATGATACTTTCCACCGAAATAAAAATTTTTTTACATAGACAAAGCCCTTCGTAAAGTGTGGGCTGTACTTGTGAGAACAATTTTTTGTATTTCTTTGAGACATGGGCTTCCAGGAATCCCTTCATTTAGTCTACTGGAATCTTTTCCAACTAATCCTAGGACTCCAACTACAACAGGGATTGTTGATGTTTCCATGTGCCACATTTTTGAGATTTCGATTTCAAGGTTCTTGTATTTTGACAGCTTTTTGAATATCTTCAAAGATACATTGCAATCTGCAGGGACTGCCATACCAATAAGGAGGCACTTTTTTGTTCGTGGTCTCTAATAACAATAATGTTTATGTAACCTTTGACACAGCGAATTCTGACGGCAAGGGGAATTTTTTTAAATTACTGTAGGACTATATACGATTTTAATCATATCGTGCCCATTCGAAAAAAATAGGATACAAGCTCAGGTTTAAAGTGAGAATCCAACACATATGAAATTAGTAATAAAATTTGTCCACTTCCTTTTAGTACTTTTCCCTATCCATTAACCTTTATTAACCTTGACCTCATCTATGATCCTTTTAGTACGACAGTAATGGTGCTGGTTGCAGGAACAGTGCCTGTAAATCGACTCCGTCAATTTGTGCTTATCGTCTGAAAACGAGGCTCTGAATCGATATGATATCGTGATATAAACTATTTCATCGTATAGATTATAAGGTTTATCCGAAAGTCTACACGAAAAGACCACGGCACAAATTTAATGTAGGAGTACCATGCATACATGGGATCATTAGATTATCTTTTCATAAAATTAGCAGATTATTTAATTAATATTAAACATTAAACTAATAGCAGAAGAAATTTAATTCAATATTATTAATCATTTTAAACGATGAGTACTCAATAATAAAATCTCAATTGCAAACCTCCCCCCCCCCACCGCCAAAAAAGATATTTTGAACGGTCATTAAAAATACACGGGGCATTATTTTGTATCACGTGATTTT